CCGCCTCTCGCCGCCTCTCGCCGCCTCTCGCCGCACGCGCACCGTTCACCGCGCGATACTCGCACCGTTCTCGTACACGTTTTTCCTTTCTCCCTTCACTTCCTTCTTTCCTTGTTTCTTTCCTCGTTTGTTTGTTCGGTCGGTCGGTTGCTCGAATGGTCGCTTAGCCGCACGCATAGACACGGATACACCGTTGCTCTTGCCGCGTTTTCGCGTTTCTCCGCTAACGCGCTCGACCGAGGTCCACCGAGCACGGGGCAGACTCGATTCCGAGTCGCGAGCATTCGTGTCGAGCTGTAACCGGAATCGCGAACGGACCGAATCGAAGATATCTTCGGTAACGCGAACGGGGGAACGCTTCGCCCGTTTTTGGCCGGACGAAACGGCGTTTTCGTCGAACGGCCGAACGCTGCGCCGCGACCCGTTCCGCCGACTCGGACGTCCGTTAGTTGTTAGGCGAAGTAGGATGCAGCGGGAGAACGAGCCATATAGGATCGGTTCGTTGCCGGAGAGAGATCGTTCTCCCGTCTCGACTAGGCTTAACTGTAAACGACCCCCACCTTGACTTTCCCATCTGTTCCCGGCTGTTCCTCGACGCGTCGAAGCTGCGCCGATTACAACCGATTCGCTCGATTCGCTCGATTCGCTCGATTCGCCGACCGAACCGCCTCTCCCGTTCGGAATCGCCGATAGGGAAGAGGGAATCGGGAATCGCAGAAAAATAACAATGTTGCCTGCATTTCCTACGTTGCGAAAACCTAATAGCCAGAACTTGGAACGAACAGTTTTCTTTTAGAAACTTCTCACGAACGCGCCCGTTCAGCTTCAACGGCGATAAACAAACATTTCGAAACTTGAAATTAAATGGCATTTTGTACGGAAGAAACGGAAAACTGGTAGGATGTTTCCGAATAGTCTTCCGCTTCTAAAAGGAGCATCTCTTTTACCGATACCGGAGCCGAACCGACATCGATAAGAAGATCCTCCCAAAAAGATGCTCGTTCGAAGTTCGAACCGAACTGATCCGATTCGCCTCGGTCTACCCTAGTTCTCGCAGCGCGACCCGCACATCTGCTGCTCCCTTTCCCCGATCCCCTCTTTTCGCGCGTGTTCGTCGCAAACCGGATTACTTTTGCGTCGCTCGCGTTGGAATCGTATCTCGGCTCGGAAGAGAGGACTCGTTCGATCGGATCGCGTCGACGATCGGAGTAGCGTCGAGCTTTTTTGCCGGATAACTGGAGCGTCGAAACGTCGAAACGTCGACGACGCTGCGAACGAACGCGACAACTATCTCGCGCCAAGGACTCTACTCCCTCCGCGACGCGTCGCGGGGCTCGCCTCGAGAATTAATCGATTCGAGCATAAATGTTCGCAGAGCGCGTGGAACATAAGCGTATCATAAGAATATCGGAATATCAGGTTTTCGAACGATCAAATGGGTGTCGACCGAATCCTTTAACGAGTCGCGCCCTCGAGAACGCGGCCGAGCGATTGGTCGAGGTTTCAGCGAACGACGTAAACATGTTTTTCTTTCGCGCAACAGCAACCTGATTACGATAGGCGCGTGTCATCCGAGTTCGGGCGTTGCCGGTCCCCGGCGGCGTATAAAAGAGCCGACGCGATGGAAAAGAACCGTGTATTTCTCGCTGGAACAACCTGCCAGGATGAGGGACGAATTCAAGGTAGGAGGAATATACGACAGCTAGAATATTTCCGTCGGTCGTCTCGGTCGTGTTTCAGTATCTGTCGGGATTCGACTGCGAGTTCGCGAGCGAAGACGAACGGTGCCCCGGCGCTCTGCCCGTCGGCCGAAACAACCCCCAACGGTGTCCGTACGGCTTGTACGCCGAGCAACTCTCCGGCACGGCGTTCACCGGTGAGTAGTCGAGAATACTCTGCTCGGGAATCTACTTTCCGATCGGTCGGCTTCTCTGGTGCGCAGCTCCTCGGTCTCGGAACAAGCGCTCCTGGTTCTACCGCATCAGACCGTCCGTCGTGCACAACCGCTTCGTTCCCGCGGCCAAAGTCGCGCCGCGTCTCGCCTACGAATGGAGCGCCGGCGAACCGACGCCGAATCAGGTAATCGCCGATTAGAGTTTTCCTCCGTCGGTCCTTCTTGCGCCGCTCGCACGCTGCTCGATCGCGTTTCAGCTGAGATGGAAGCCGTTCGACGTGCCGAGCAGGCGCGACTCGAGGGTGGACTTTGTCGACGGGCTGCACACGGTGTGCGGCGCGGGCGATTGCCGCGTGCGACGAGGCGTCGCGATCCACGTGTACCTCTGCAACGCCTCCATGGGGGACAAGGCGTTCTACAACGCCGACGGGGACTTTCTGATCGGTGCGTATGCACCGTCGTGCCCGCTCCCGAATCTTCCGCGTAACGGGTCTCGCTAGCAACGACTATCGCACACTTTTCGCCCGCAGTGCCGCAACTGGGCGCCTTAACCATCACCACGGAATTCGGCAAGATCCGTTGCGAGCCGAACGAGATATGCGCGATTCAGCAAGGCATGCGATTCAACGTGGCGGTCTTCGGCCCCTCGCGAGGATACGTCCTCGAAGCGTTCGACGACCACTTTCGGCTGCCCGAATTGGGACCGATAGGTAATCGCCGATAGGTAAACACCGAACCCAATATCGACCGATCGTTTTCCTCGTTTTCCTCGTTTCCGAGCAGGAGCGAACGGCTTGGCGAACCCGCGAGACTTCGAAACGCCGGTCGCCTGCTACGAGGACCGCGAAACCAACTACGAGATCCTCTGCAAATTTCACGGCAAGTTGTTCGTCGCCGCTCAAGGACACAGCCCCTTCGACGTGGTAGCTTGGCACGGAAACTACGTCCCCTTCAAGTACAACTTGGACAAGTTTATGGTCGTCAATTCGGTCTCGTTCGACCATTGCGTACGTATCGTCGTTCCAATCTTCGGATCTCGAATCGAATCGAGCCGATCCGATCGTTCCCGTTTCAGGACCCCTCCATCTTCACCGTTCTGACGTGCCCGTCGGGCAAGCCCGGGACCGCGGCGGCGGATTTCGTGATATTTCCACCTCGATGGTCCGTTCAGGAAAACACTTTCCGCCCGCCTTACTATCATCGTAAGTAGAAAGCTACCATACGACCGGTACATCATAGTCGCGCGTGCAAAAAGAACTCGCATTCGCGCGTAGACGGGCAGAAGCAACGAAAGTTTACTACACGGAGAAACTTATCGAACGTCGATCGAAATCGTCGCGATCGACGATCGGAGTCCGGATCGAACTCCCCGTTTTACCCGTCTCCTTTTCATTTTGCTTCTTCACTTTCCCGATTTCCCGTTCTCCGGAGGTTTCCAGTCGCGCGTTTCGTTGTCGATTCGACGATTCGCCGGTCGGTTCTCCCCTCCCGACGCGATTCGTTATGCTAGACCTCATCTAAAAATCGCGCAGCGGCGAGACACCGGTGAAAACTTGAAATTTTCTCCAATTACATCGATCGACTTCCTTTTTCTTTCACGACCATAATTCTGCCGTTTCTTGCGCCAGCGAACGTGCAATTGCATCCTCGTGTCCCCTCCCATCGGCGTATCCGTCGGTTCCCTTCCCTTCCCTTCCCTTCCCTTCCCTTCCCTTCCCGCCCAGTTCTTTGCTCCTCGTCTTTCGAAATTCGGCCGACTTTGAATACTTCGTTTAACATCGACGACTTTGACCCTCAGGTAATTGCATGAGCGAGTTCATGGGCCTCGTTAAGGGACGGTACGAAGCTAAAGAGGAAAGTTTTCATCCGGGCGGAGCATCGTTGCATTCCATGATGACGCCTCACGGGCCGGATGCGCGCTGTTTCGAAACCGCTTCGAACTGCGAGCTGAAACCCGAGCGCATCGCCGATGGAACTATGGCTTTCATGTTCGAGACTTGTTACAGTTTGGCGGTCACCGAATGGGCGACGACCGTTTGCAACAAGCTCGACCACGATTACAACAAGTGCTGGGAATCGCTCGGCAGCCACTTCGATCCGAACGCTAAGCCTGAAACCTCCCATCCTTGACGTTGCTCGTCGGATCCAATTTTCTTTTCGAAGTTTCGTCCCAGCATTTTTTCCGTCTAGTTTTCTTAATAGTTTATTATTATTATTATTATTATTATTATTAATAGTCGTGTACAGAAATACATTTGACCGATCTTCCAGAGTCACACTTCTTATATGACTTTCAAACGATATTTTATCCTGATCGTTTCCAGTTAATTTTCCAATCTCCAGTTTCCAGTTGACGATCCAACGGAAGAATCTCGCGCCGCCATCTACGGCGGAACCCTGAAACCGCTAGCGAATTCCGGCCTCTACCGGAAATCTAGAGAACCCTATTTGCAGACCGCGAACTTCCGTTCGTCCACGACAGAGGCCGGTTCGCGCAAGTTCGTCGCAACGAGCATTCGGTGTTTTCTTTTTTTCGAAGCACGTTGAATCGCCAGACGTGACGCGATTAACATAGAATGCGAGGTGTAGCGTGAATGAAAATTCGACGGTGTTGTTCAAACGATTGTTGCACGGTGTAACGTAAATATGTTCATTTCGACGAGGGCTATATTCAGCCTCGCAACCATACTTTTATCATGTGGCACGTCTTCGAGGTGGTGATACTTCTTTGTTACTTTGGCTGTAGCGTTACAGCTTCCTATTGTTATCCAGATTACT